GCATTGGGTAAGTTCTCTATCGATTTTGGTATGCCTAGTCATTGTGAAAACATTTATTTCTCAATGCCGTGCAGCTGCTTGCGAATTGTCAAGAATTGGCCTTTCAAGTATTGGCTTGTCATCTCGACTCAATTGAGATAAATGTGCCATAGGATACGTTTTCATTATTGTGTGCTTAACTGATTATGCAGCAGTATCTCATGAAGAACCACTTTTATTCAAACATCAGTGGAAGTATTTTCTATGTGCTTAAGGGGTCCAAAAAGAAAAAAAAAAAAGCCTGGTGTTCTGCATTAGTTAAGTTTCAGTTTGCTGCAAAACTCCCTTATCAGGCCCAAGCCACTTGAAATGGTTTTGTAATGGCGATGTTGAAACACAATGGCTGGTGGAAGTGTTTCTGTTGATCATTAATTCATGCCCAGTGTCCTTTTTATTTATTTATCTATTTATTGCTTTCACTGCCACTCATTCAGGGCTGTAGTTCAACCGCAACCTGGTCTGCTTTCTGGTGAGTGCAGGTGGGATGAGCTGGGCTGTAGTGTTTGCAGAATGACCCAGACGTGTGTCTGGGTGTTTGGAAAATAGGGTTACCTGGGGCTGAGTGTCTTTGGAATTCTTGAGGTATCTGGGTTCGTTTCACCTCTTCCTTTCTGCAGTATGGAGTAGAACTCGTCTGACAGAACAGCAGTGAAACAAAAGTCTATGCGTGCATCCTTTTCCCCAAAGGTATAAATAGTCTAAAAGAAAGATGGTATGCTTGGCAGATGATGCTGAGAATTGACATGATGCAGTTATAGACCGAGTACCAGAGCCATTTTTTTTTTTGTTGTTGTTATACTCTGTTATTTACAAGAGGGGTTAAGATCAGCTCTCTAGGGTCTCTGTATTCTTGTGGGGCAAAAAATAAATTGGAAGTGGTTTCTGAAGTTCAGGCTTGCAGTGCATGTTACTGTGGGCTGAGCAGAGGGGGGCTGCAGGCAACTGAATATAGCTTATAAAGTATTACATTTTCATCTGATGGTGGATGGAACTGTGATTTCTGCCTATAACCTGAGATGTCTTACTGCCATAATGGACTCTCTGACGTGTGCCATTGCAGTCACGCTTCTTTCTCTTCTCTCTGTTTTTGATACCTAACCTGTAATGTAGCATTCAACAAACTAATTGCTTTCGTTTGGATCCCAGAGCTGCTTGGATCAGTGAAAGTTCATTGCTGCAGACTCCAAGAAGAATCATAGAATCACCAAGGTTGGAAAAGACCTAAAAGATCATCCAGTCCAACCGTTCACCTATTCCCAATAGCTCCCACTAAACCATGTCTCTCAACACAACATCCAGCCTTTCCTTGAACACCTCCAGGCTCGGTGACTCCACCACCTCCCTGGGCAGTCCATTCCAAGAAGCTGCATTCTAGGATGTACCTCTTAGTCCATCAACTTGGTTTTGGAAAAGAAACCTGCAATGGCCAATTGCAAATAGTAGACGAGCTCTTGGCTATGTGGTGGAAACCTCTGTGGGTTCTGAGCACTTGCTCAACATGCTGGAGGTTGTGAAACAAACAGGTCTGATGGCTGCATGCTCCACACTGTGCCACTTATGTCCTTACAGGACTCAAAATAGTCTGATCTGAGCTGAACAAAAAGCCTGTGAATGTTCTTAGAAGCCTCTTTGATTTAAAAATGGGGATGTCTCTCTAAGCTTTCTTGTGTGGTTTTTGGTCCTGTTTGTTTTTAATGTTCCCTGTCCGTAAATCAAGGATCATTCCATTTCTGTAAGTAAATTTCCATCTGACATCAGAATTGAGGAACAAGTGAAAACACATCTTTTTTTTTTTTTTTTTTTGCTGATACTTTCCATTTCATTTGTTTGGAGTTCGTCTTGGCTCTGTACAGAAGACTGTATCATTATGTTTTTAATCTAAACTTTTCCATAGTGGAGAGGATGGTTTGTTTTGCCTGTTAGTTTAAATTACAGAAACATCTTGGTTATAAAAGCTGAAAAAGAGGGCCTTAGAGATTCTAAATACTTGATTCTGTTTAACGAGCGTATCTACTAAAAATAGCCCTTGTGAAGAAGGTCAGTAACTCATTCTTTAATATTCCCAGTCAACAGCAAGAGCAATAAAGATTCTCTTTCTGATCTGATTAATGGCTGCGTATCAAAGCCCTGAAAATTTTTTGCTCCGGTCAGCAGAATCTAAAATTTAAAAAGGGAGGGTATTTAATGCTCTGCTTGTGAGAATGGCTCTTCCTTCATTCTGTTTTGTTTGCTCTCTTGCCAGCCAAGCTAGAAAAATAAGCAGTGCTGTGGAGCTGCACTTGCGTTGGGCCATCCTCGTTAGTTTGGATGTGCCGGGGGCTCCCCTGCTTATGTCTTGTCCTCCCTGCACGGAGTTTGTGTGTGGAGGAACTTCTCTTTTTCTGCAATGCGTTCAAAACATTTTTCGTATGATCCTGAAGCCCCTGAGCACTGAGATGTGTGTAAGGCGTGCTGTGCTTTGTGCAGCGGTGCTGCCAAACCGCTGAGCTGCTTTAGTGCTGCTGTCCTCAAAAATGTGCATCGCTGCAGACTGCTTAGGCTGAGCCGTGCCTTCCTGGGGGTGAAAGGGAGAGCAAATACAGAGCAAACCGATGTGCGGTGTACTGCTGTTTAGTATCCTATCGTGGATACTTTGTTTTTCCAGGAGATGAGGTGGGCTCACTTGGCAGGAATTTCGGAGATGGCTTTTCTCCTCCAGGAGCGAGGAGGAGTTGTGGGACCCATCGTGCTTCCATCACTGGGGCATAGGCAGCTCTGCTGGGATTGAGTATGGGTCTAAATGGGTGCATTAAACCTATGGGGAGATGGAGAGAAGGCCGGGCTTGGGCTTGGTCCTGTCCTGGCCCGTATAACTGCTTCTGTGTTCAAAAGGAATGAATATAAGCATGGATGTGTGCGAGTAAGAAAGAACTCAATCACCTGATATGGGATTCCCCTTGTGAAGTTTGCACTCATCTTTTTTTTTTTTAAATTTATTTTTTAATGTAATTTTTATAGGAAAGCAGCTTTCTAGCCTTAGGAGCTCTGCTCCCAGTTTGGGCAGGCACTGAAGCACTTGCATGGAGTGCTTGTGCAAGGAGGGGTGTTTTCCCTAGCTGGGTCCTGCGTAAACTTGAAATGTCTTTGATTTGGGGAAGAGAGGGAGGGGGAAAAAGGTGAAGTAGTTTCAGGTGCTACTGTCTGTGCATAACATCTCACACAGGGAGACCCTGTTCTGTTGGTCCTTAGGCAACACTGTGATAAAAACAAATCAAACACCTGTGCTTGGATCCTCTTGCCAAGTTCTGGAGCTTTGCTCACCTTTTTTTATAACTTAAAAATAGGAAGGAGGGGAAAAGGTTTGTTTTTTTTTTTTTTTTTTTTTTTTTTTTTTCTTCTTTCCAAGTGCTGTAGTTGCTGTGTTGAAAGATGTACAAACAGCGCTGGCTGCCAGAATGAAGGAGACAGTGAAACTGTCCTTGTGTGCAGGGCTGCTGCAGGCATGGGCCAGTTGTGGGAAGGAGAAAGAGCCTTTCGTCTCTCTCTTTCATTTAGTGTTGCTTAACAGTGAGTTAAAACACCTCCCTAAAGCAGCCTGAGCTCACGTCCTTGTATCTTCTGACTTTCAGACATAGCTTGCTGAAAGGTTTGCTTTTTCCCTTCCCAGCTGAAGTGTTTTTAAGTGCATTTGTTTCTCTAACCAGAGGAATGCCAGGGCAGGAAAATCTCTAGGTAAATCCAACATTTGCTCTTTAGTGCAGTCAGCTGCAAGATGCATTACAGAGCTGGAGTTCTACTTCTGTTAACAAACAAAATTGCAGTATTTTTTTTTTTAAATTGTAGGATACAATCACAGTTCTCTTACACTTTCTAATCTCCCAAACAGCAGCTGAACAAAACTGGTTGGCAGTAGTCAGTTCTGCCTCTGTGTATACTGGAACCAGTCTAGTTAGGAGCCGGTCCACAGGGTGGAAGTTCTGTTTAAGATCCTTTGCAACCACGTCAGTATTGCTTCCCTTAACTTGTTTAGATTTTGTGCTGAGTTGAAGGCACAGCACAGCCCTTAATGTACAACAGTCTTGGCTTCAATATGCCCAGGTTATAAATAGATACCCCTTGCCCCCCTTGGCAGTAGGAAATGACTGCAGCAGGTGTCCTCTGCTAGAAATTTGCACTTATTCATATCCAAGTACTTTTTATACAGTAACTTAGCTCCTAGTGTGCTCTTCCTTTCTTAAATGCCCGCTGACTTGCTAGTTAGTGTCATGCTAAAATCTGAAATCTTCAGTAAGATAGAAGAAATAAAGCCCGAAGGTTGTTTTTATTGTTGTGCACCTCTGTAGGGCACTTATTTGTGTGCAATTTTGAAAGTATTAACAGCAAGTGTGGGAGAGGTGCAGAATGTCTGGCACAGGTAAAAATGGTGTAGGGATTCTTTTGGGTTCCTTTCTTCATATTGGGCTGGAGTTCAGCTGGGTTTTTGCAATAGTTCCTCCACAGTAATGCTGGTAAGGGCTTTGGAAGGCTCTGGGCAGGATCTGGTATCCCCCCTCGTGCTGAGAAAATAAACGGGGCTTTTTGTGTGGCAAGGTAGTGCTCAGAGTAAATAAGGATATTGCAGCCTGCTTGGTGTGAAATGCGTTTGGTGTCAATAAACAAACTTCCTCGTGACACAAAACCCATCATTGTGTTTGGATTAGCTTTCGGGCTCAGCAAAAAGGTGAAGCTGTTTGGGCAGGGTGAGTGAATGCCTTTGTGCTGCTGAGGTCGTTTCCTTCCAGGCATGGTGCAGAGTCCCTGCTTCTGTGCAGGTGTTGGATGCTTTGGGGAAGAACGGCGGAGTTTGATGTGACAGTGTGCAAAAAGTGAAAGAAAGGGGAGATGTGGTGCTCGTTTGGAGAGTGTGTGCAATAAAAAAAAGAGAGTCCAAGTCTTTCATTTACAGTTTAACGTGTATGTGCCTCTACGTCCTTCTCCCTCAGATGTGAGAGCTGCGTGGAGCTGCTGTTTGTGAGAGGGGCTGGGAACTGCCATGAGTGCGATACGCCGCTGCGGAAGAGTAACTTCAGGGTGCAGCTCTTCGACGATCCTGCTGTTGACAAGGAAGTGGAAATCCGTAAGAAAGTGCTGAAAATGTGAGTGTCACCAATCAAAAGATCAGAATATGGATCTGTTTCGTGGCTCCCATTTTCAAAAATTGTCTTATTTTTCCTGTAGCAATTTAAAAACAAACCAATAAAAACTCCTAAAACCCAACACCAGAACTTAACTTGACTCCATTTAACGTTGAGGAATTATAGAGAATCTGATTTTGTGCAACGACTGAGGAATGAAGTCTCAACTTAGCCTGGAGGAACTCCTACTTAGTGTTAGAAAATGTTGGGTGTTTCTGTGTGGGGTATTTGGCAAAGACCTGCCTCCCAAATGGAGATGATTTCATGCTGAGGACCACAGATGCTTTCCCTTTGAAGGGGTGAACATGGGAGTGGGGCAGAATTAGGACCTGGATTGTTTTGTTGCCTGGGGACCTGTTTGGAGAACTGAAGGCTAGTTCCCTTCCAGATGAAAATGGGCAGAAGAGAGGCTTGTTCACATTGTTTTCCACACAGCAATTGTTAGCAGAAACCATTGCTTACAAGCACTGTGTTGCGAGACAGTCATGTGGATTTGAGAGCTCTTGGAGTTGAGATAAATTGCATCTCAAATTGCATCTCGTGTCTTGTGGCCATTAAACAATATTTTACAAGGAAAAAAGAAGTAGGCCACTTGATGAGTGCTAAAAGAAGGAGGGCTGATGGAATGTAGCAAACTTGGACAGAGGTGTGCAAGAGGGAACACAGGTAAATTGTAGCTTGGCAGCCTTTGCCTAAGACTTAGTGAAGACTTGAACTAAATGAATCTTATAATACTGCTGAGATGTAAGAGAATTGCTTCACTGAATACAAGATGCTGATGTGGAAAGTAATAATTTTGAGGTTTGATTATAAAGTCTACTGAAGCTAACAAAAGTTAAATTGGAATAAAGTCAACTTGATTGACTAAAGACAAAAAGAAGCATAGTTAGAACAGAAAACTCTGTAAAATACTTGGCCTGCTTGGATTTGCCAGATTAATTTTTAGGAGGCAGACCCACCTCCCCCTCCAAACTGGAACTGTGCCTGAGTTCTCAGAATTTGGTTTTTGTATTTCTAGGTGTCATGTGTCTTGGTCTGCTGCAGAGCAGGCAGAATCTCAGTTCTGTGTTTTATTGTGGGAGGCTACGTATCTTGATTTTGAGAGCTTGTCTGTGTTCTTACCAGACTTGTTGTCCCTTTTTTCCAGCTACAGAGAGTTGAATAAATGAGTTCTGGAAGGATCTATTGGTATGGAGTAAGATAATCATGTAGCACTTTGAGTTTGCTGCTGACATAAGCTTTCTTTTGTTGGCAAAAAGCCCTACTCTCTTTTCCGTACTTGTACAAAAAAAAGTTTTCTTGTGGGTGTTGCTGTTGTTTCTGCCTTCATCAGGTTTTTCATGGTGACAGGTTGGCTTGGAATAACAATGAACTAGGTTTTGTGCTTCTGTTTACCTGAACTGCTGAAAAAGGAGCCTACAAACAGTAGGGAAAGATAGCACTGATTTATACCAGACCGTCTCCTTTCCAAGCACTTCTGTCTCATTTTAAAGACTGTGTACGTTGGTCAGCTGTGGGAGCAACAAAGAACACTGTTGATAAAACTAGGTCAATACTTAATATGCTTGCAGCAAGAGCCTTGCTGAATTGAAATTTCATCTGTGTGCATTATACAAACGATTGTTTCTCCTTTCTCAAAGATACAATAAAAGAGAGGATGACTTTCCCAGCCTAAGTGAATATAATGATTTCCTGGAAGAAATAGAAGAAATAGGTAAGTCTTTATGCTTGCATTTTTGATGTGCTGTGCTCATGAGACCATAGGCCTTTATCTTGACAAGCTGCCTATGTCGAAGTTGGGTTCCTGTAATAGGATTTATTGTAGTATCAGATGTTTATCTAATTACTTTTTTTCCTGTATATTTTAACCGTATTTGCTGAACTGTAGGGCGTTGTGAAGTAAAATATTTTATCTTCCAAAGGAAAAACACAATTCAAAGTGGAAGTAGTGCTTTATAGCTAGAAAAGGAGGGCTTGCAAGCGGTTGTCGGGGCTGCACTGGGAAAGATTAAACAGAAGAGAAATTCAAATTTTCATTATACGCCTCCATTAGCTTTATCTACCATGACAGAAGCCATATGGTGTCTTTCATCAGTTTTGCTTCTGCAAGTTACAGTAGTTGAAGCTGCTTTGAAGCTGATGACCTTACATACCACTGTGGTAGCATTTTGTGTTGCTGTGCAGAAGAAGAAGGTTTAGGAACAGACGTTGGTTTCTTTTTCTTTGGTTTAGTTGAAGTAGAACTTTGCCCTTTGGAAGGGGCCTATGTTATCAACAGAGTTTATTTTTTTTCTTAGTTAGGGTGACTTGTGATTTATGGTGGAGTGATGGATTTTGCTTAGAAAAACATGGATGTGTTCAAAGGAGAGACTCCTAAATGGTTTGCTTCTTGGTTTTATAGACTTCTCTTTTTTCTGTCCTGGAGGATGAAGAGGTGGCTTAAAATGTGCAGAAAAGGCAGCGAATGCCATTTGAAGGAAGTCATGGAGATGCTGCTTTTCAAAGGAGCCCTGGCTGCTTTTTGCACGAAGGCATTTTGTAGAAACATATCCAGTACACTTACTGCTGTGAGCAATGTGTCATGTTTTTGTTGGCATCGGAAGGCTGAGGCTGGAGAGCTAAATCGTGTGGCTGGGAAACACCAGGCACACTCATATGGGTCCAAATATCTGGAGGAGACAATGTGGGTGTAGTTCTGTTTGTATATGTTTTGGATGGTGTAGAGGAAGGAGAGGGTGAACAGAAAGACTGATTACAGCTTAGCCAGAGGATTCTGGAAGAGTCTGTGTGTGCACAGAAAGGGAAACTGCTTTGTATTGATGTAGTTTTAAATACAGGTTTCCCACTTACTGCTGTTATGTGATATTCTGGTACCTGCAACAAGGGAGTTGAAGTTTTGCCTGAAAACTCCTGAACCTTGTCAATTTGTGCAGCATGTGATGATTCCCCAGCTCTTGGGATTAGGTGGGTAAATTTCAGATGATTCCAGAGCCTCTGATAGCAGTTTGCTTTGGAAGCAACAGAACTTGAAACTGATCCTTGTAACCTCGTGAAGAAGTGCAAACTTGTCTGTAATTGTGCTGGTCCTGCAAACGTATCATGTAGGAGCTCAGTAAATGCATGCCAGGAATTGAAGTTAGTTGCTGGGAAGGGACACCTAAAACACCTGAAAGGTCTAGAAAGATGGAATACCTCCTTCCTTCAGCCGGGGTTGTGTGAGGAAGGAAGAGATGCAGTCAAAAGGCTCTTAATCTTCACAGTCACAGGAGTAGTTTATGATCTATTAATGTACTGTAGATCCAGAATCCAGAGGGTTTGTTAGATTCAAGAACGCATCCAACAAGAATTCAAGCCCCGTTTGTTCCCATGGTCACACTTTGCTTTCAGACTTCATTGATTGTTGTCATCTCCCCAAACGTCCTGCCTGTGTTCCTGAGCAGAACTCTCCAACTGACTGCTGTCTGATATGCAGCAGTAGTGTTACTTATTCAGCACTTTTTTAGGGCATGTTGTGTGTGGCATGGCAGAACAATGTGCTAAAGGCGCCTGCAACTCTATGGGTATTTTAGATTTAACTGGTAAGAGTAGTTATTTCCTTTTTCTTTGTATATGTGAATTCCCTGCTCGTTTGTGCACGTGGGAAACTGGGCTGTGGGAAGGGAAAGAAAGAGTGTAGTCATGCGGAGCAAAGCTCTGCCTCATGGGGCCAATGGATGGCAGGTTGGCAGGGGCTGCTGGTGATTGTTAGAGCTGCCAGGTTGGGAAGCGAGGGTGCAGAGAACCAGATCTTCCCCTTTCTTTCTCCTGCCCCAAATTCCCAGTTTTTCTGTGAGAAGGTCAATGTGTTAAAAAGCACAGCTTTACCCTGTTTGCTCTTTGCTGGTAAGTTTTGATTCTTAAGTTGTGAAGGGGTTTCAGATAAAGTAGTTGCTTGGCAGAGAAAATACGTAAACATCCTGTGTGAGTATGCTTGTGTGACCCTGGCAGGATTCTGATAGCTTTTCCAAATGTTTCAGGTAGATCATCTCCAGCATTTGTAGTGACTGCAGTGGTTTATTCCATTGAGGTGATGTATGGCCTCACTTGAAGCACATCTCCCCCTTTGTAGCGGGAGTATTATAACTACAAACTTTGCTATTTAAAGAAAAGTGTTGGGTGGTACAGCAACAGAGGTGGGGGGAAAAGGTCAAACACGAGGGTAGTCATATCTTCAGATTGGTGTTTTAAAGAGCAAATTTTTAGTGGTTTAGAATGTAGCCACTAAATAATGCTTTGGGCTAAAATGTGTTATACAAGGCTTTAAAATAGAAACCACATTTTAATGCAGGCTTTCTCCAGAAGAAAAATCAGTTGGACGATTTGGTAACACTGTTAACAGTTGTCATTAGGACCGGGAGTAATAATGAAGTGAAAAGGTTAAAAGATATCATTTGGAGCAATGCATGCAACATCTATTGAAATAAGTCAGGTCTGTGTCCTGCTGGGAGGTTAAACCTTAGAGTTTGCCACCAGGGCTGCACTCTCTGGACATCATGCAAACTTTCCTTGTGCTTTATACAAGATTTTCTTCTTCCCCAGGGTGTCTTCACAGCCAGTTCTTGAAAGCCAGGTGTGCCAGCTTTCCAAAGCAGGGCCTGCCTCCTATCCTGTGTGTACACACAGCTTGGCACCGCTCTCCTGATACCTGAATGAGGCCTCTAGGCATTACCACAACACAATTGCTAATAGCTATTATTTCTTTTAACATTCAGTACATTCGTGTTAGAAGGAGGCTTCTGTGTTTGTGCCCCTTGGATTCCAGGATCTCGTTACTTCTCTGAGACTTTGTGCAATAGCAGCTGCCTGGTGACTTGTTTGCTTCCAACGTTTATCTAACAAGTGATCCTTGGGTAGACAGGATTTTATTATCTGTGATTGCTTGTAGGTTATGTTGTTTATTGTTTGAGGGTTTTCTCCTGTATGTAAATGATGGTGCTGCTTTGCTAAGAATGGGAGGAACCTAATGTAAAATAGGGTGGCCGTATCAAAGATCAGTTTCAGTCATCTCATCTGAACTGAGATTTCGGTATCATGCTGTTCCAGCCACAGTGATCCTTCTTATCTGATGGGGATTAGTGATTCAAATAATTCAATTCCATAACAAAGTGTTTTTCTGGAAAATTGTCACAAGAAAAGACAACTGAAAATAAACAGAAATGTTTAGTAATGCCTAACTAGATTTTTTTCCTGGCTTAATTTTGCATTTTGGTTTTCCTGACTTTTTTTTTTTTTTTTTGTAGCAATGTTGGTGGAAAGAGACCTCTTAAGATCTTGCCTGTCTCTTCTACCACCAAACTGCTCCCATCTTTGTGAAAGGGTGAGGCCCCACAGGTTTGCCAAGAGATGGAAAGCACCAAGCAAAGGTGCCAAAGCAGCTCTGGTCTCCCTGTGCAGACTGAGGATGTGGTCATGACTCTACTTAGAGTGCTCTGCCCAAAGCACTTCTGCCATTCTCAGTCTCTAGCTGGCTGTTTACTAAGATGGTAATGGAGGAGTTCTTGGTAGTAGGGTAGGAGGAATGTTCTTTACAGCAAACCTTAACGTTTTCCTTAATCCACAAATACCTCCTTCAGAAAGGAGTTGGATGTGTGGCCATTTTCCCACTAGCTGGGTTTAGAAGTACAGAGAATGGAAGGTGAAGGTTTTAAGAGGATTGTGGATGTGGGAAAAAAGATCAGTATAGGAACTGACTTTGTAGGTCATTAAACTAATCACCTGCTGTCTCACCAGAGAGGTAGTGAGCCTAAGGTTTGAATAACAAATATTTTAACGTGGTAATATTGGTGTCTCTTCTAGCAGGAGAAATCTCAGATAGTTTTCAGTATCTCAGACTTAAAACAAGGATATTTTGATGGATCGAATTTGAAGTTCTGCAGTGGAGTGACATACACACAGTGCTGCATCTCTGGACAACTTACTGTTCCATGTGATCCAAAGCTTTGGCTCAAATCTTGAGTTCCTTTTATAACAAGAAAATACTTCCCATTTGTTATAGAACTGCGGAATAAATGTTGCTTTTTAAAAAGCAGTGAAAGTCTTCCTGCAGAGGCTGAATTTCCAAAGGAAGGAATTCTACCTAAATAGAATGAAAAGTTACAGGAAAACACAATAGTCTTCCTGTTGTACTTCAACAGATGTCTCAAGGCAAGTCAATTTATAAACGAACCAGTGTGAGATGGATAAGCAGATAAATAATTGTTGCATACAAAACAGCTTCTGTTTCTTTTCCCTGAAGGGTTTCAGACCTCTTATATCAGCTTATGCTATATTTTAACACAGACAAAAATAAGCTTGTCTTCTCTTTGAAACCTTTTCAAACTAGCCATCTGCTTTGCCAGTCATATTCAGACCTGCACCAATATTTTTTCAGGGGAGATACAGCATGCGAGTCAGGGTTGTGTTTTTTTTTTTTAGCTCTTTCTGTTCTAGTTCTATAATTTTTGTTGTTGTTGTTTTTTTTTTTTTTTTAAAGGAACATTTGGAAGAATTAAGTTTAAAAATAAATTTCTGACAAAATGCAAATAAAACCAAATCAAACAATGCAGTGTAGTCCTATATGTGTAGAAGGTAAGATGCTGAGCATTAGTTACTGTGTTCTTTGATTTGATATTTGCTGGTTTTTAAATGCCAGATAAATAGTGGTGGGGGCATGGAGAAGGAAGTAATCGTGACCCAGTCCCCCTTCCAAAATGAACCTGACTATTGTGATTATGGGGATAAAATGGCAGGTCTACATTCTGTAGTTATTGATGAAGAGATGTTTGAAACCCATGAAAAATAAACTAGAAAATACGTTGGAAAGTATTTAGGCTGACAGGTTGGTCACTGATAACTGAGTGGTGTCAGAGAGCTCAGTTTGTTTTGCTGCTAGGATGTTTATGTAGGAGGGAGGATATTCTTTTCATTTATTCAGGGGCAGCTGCTGATGCTGATCTCGGTTTAGGCACAACCAGGTCTTCACACTGCTGCAATAAAACGTAAATCTCCAGTATGTTAAGTGTTGAAATGAGGGCCCCTTGGTGTTTAGGAGCAATAGCTAAGGGTGACTGGGACCAGGATGATGTTTTTTCCTCAGTGACAGCAAGGCACTGTTTAGTAGGAGAGATCTGCTCTGGTCTTTGAGGGTATAGGAGGTACGAATCTTTCTGATTGCTGCCCTACCATGTCCTGAGGTGACAAAGTAGAGGAAGACAGGCAGAGAAGAATCAGTGCGAGGACATTTGGTTGCAGACAGAATTCTTCCCATGGTTTCCAGCCACCACAGGGAGGCAGATGGAGAAATAAACACAGCACTTTGCTGCAAGGTGATATAAGGTGATAGAAAGGATAAAGATTACTCACTTTTGTAAGTAGTTATAAATAAAGGCATTGATCTGCGTATGTCTAACATTTGCTTTCTTACCTGATGTGGGTTTTAAATCTTATGTTTGGTGTTTCACAAACTGAGATTGTGTATTGTTGAATCCATTAATAACTGAGGAAAAAAAAGCCCACTTGAATGTTTCAAGCAGCAATACTTGCAAAAGCTAGGTCATCTGCTTATTGCTGGATTATTTTTAGAGGAACAACCAAGATGTTCAGGAGCCTGAGGCATTTTGGCATCTCATCTTGTTCCTCCTCTTGCACCTGAAGGTGGCATCTGGGCATCCTGCTAGCACAGCATGGCTCATGTGCTATTTCTTTCTTGTGTCGTCATTGAAAAGTTTACAGAGCTGGTGTGTGGATTTAAGTTGTAGGAAGTGCTAACATTCCCATGCAGCTGCTGTCATTGCAGAGCCTTGATCTGATAGAATGCCAGCATTTTCACATGACCGTTCTTCTGTGCTGTAATACTCAAATGTGAAGCTGCTTGTCAGCTGGGGACTGTAGACTAGAAACCGGAGGTCAAATCTTCCCTCAAAGAATAAAAGCTTAAACTGAAATACTGTGTTTTATTAAGGAAATGCTGCCAGGTCTGGAAAGCAGTATGTAATTGCAATAAGAAACTGGAAATGTTCTTATAACCCTTTTGGAGTGGGGAAAAATACACTGAAATTAGTAATTTGCTTCCAAAACCCAAGGAGCTGAACTTAGAAAGTCAAAGAGCTCTCAGAGCGATGTGTTGGTTTGTGGTAATGTCCAGGGCTCCACCTGAGGTGAGATCAAGACCCTGAGATAGGTGCTACGTGGAGCTGGAGTAAGGAGAAACAGCAGAATGTATCCAGGAGAAAGGAAGCTTTATCCTCCTGCTAATGGTTCTCATATATGGGAGACCTCCAGTGTAGAGGTCAAGTGATCTGCCCTAGAACAGCAGCAAAGCTGGAAATTGAACCCAGGTTTTGATTCCCAATCAAATGCTTAGCCCACAAAACCAGCCTGCTTCTCAGATCCCTCCTGAAGTGAGGAGACTGGGGCAGGGCTGCAAGAGCTCTGCTGCTTATCGGGAGCCAGACTGAATTAAAATGTCGGTCCTCCTGATAGTGCTTATTATTTAGAAAAGGGGGAAAAATAATAAATGCAGCATTTTGTTTGTTTGCTTAAGGCTGTGAATTTCTTCAGCTATATCCTGCCTAGCCCTTTTTGCTGTGGTTCAAGGAAAGACTGAATGTTTCTGATAGAAGTAAAGTGTTAGTTCTGTACTCCTGGAAAGAGAGTGTTCTTACATTTCTATTACTTCCCTTACACCATCTCTGGCACTTGTCCATTGCCTGTACTGACACAGTTCAGGTTACTGGAAGGTTTTGCAGACACCATGGAGCACCCGGAATCCTGCAGTCAGAGCAGAACAGGGGGAGAGGCAACTCCTGTGCCTGGGACAAGTGTAGTCTGTACTGCTGGGTAAGTCCAACGGTAGCCAGTGACTCTTACGCTGCAGATCTCCCCCGTCTATCCCCATTAATTGATCTCTTGCTTTGATTTTATAGAATCACAGACTGATGAGGTTGGAAGGGAACTTAAAGTCCAGGAGGTTCCAACTCCACACTGTCGGCTAGTTGCCACCCATCAGCTCAGGCTGCCCAGGGCCCCATCCAGCCTGGCCTTGCCCCATCCCTGGAGGTGTCCACCGACTGCTTCTCTGGGCAACAATGCCTTACTGCCCTCTGAGTAAAGAATTTCCTCATAAAATCTAACCGAAATCTCATTTTTCTGTTTTTCTGATTGCTCTCAACGGTCTTGCCAATCTAGGTTATGGGTGGTTTGCCTTATCTAGAGCCCTCCTGAAAGTTAATTTCTGCCACATTACCTGTGAAGAGAAGAAAAGAATAAGGGATGTTAATCTTTACCAAACTGAGATGTGTGCTGTTCTGATGGGGAGCAACACAGATATCGTTCTTTCGCCTTCTGTTTCTCTCAGTCTCGTTTACGCAAATGATTTTGCAGTGGTACCCATGCACAGGGTTCAGTTAGCTCTAGTCACTTAAGAAGACTAGGAACAGAGAACCAAATAAAAATCTTCCAGTTCCTGTTGCTGGCGTTTTCACCGCAACTCCTTCCCTTGCTGGTTGTGCAATTGCTGTGCTGCTGTTCTCTTGGAAGGGATTCATCACTGGCTGTGTGAATTTCTCTGCTGCTCTTGTAAGCTTACAGTAGATGTGTTAAAAAGCTCTTAGAGATCTTTGGGAAGATTGCTGTACATTTATGGTCTTCACAAGCTTTAGGACTGTGGACATGAGCCTGACATCCACTCTTGATATCGAACACTGGGCAACTTCCCAGCGATAATGGCTTTCTGTTGGAATTCACTTTGCCCACAATTGAACTAGTGACCTAGAGGTGTAAGACTCGGGCACTGTATTGAATTACTGGTCATCCAAACCATCTTTTAAGCTGTTGATTGTAGAAACCAATCAATTCTTGAGGTGTATTCCATGTTGTATGTAGATAGTTAGGAATGTTCTGCAAAACTGTGGAGCTTGCTGGCCAACTCTGTTTGCTCATAATTATGTGAGATCTAGCCTGTCACGATCAAGAGCCATTGAAAGAGTATCATTTTAACCAATTAATCTGGATGCATCTGCAGATTCTTCATAGTAAAGGTAATTGTACGTTGATGCCTTTTAACTCATTGAATTGTGAAACTGGTCTGCATACCTGAAAAATCTGATTATCTAATGCACAAAGACTACGGAGATTATCTTATGAAATGTAACAACTTAATTTCTAACCTTGTTTTAATATGTATGTGTTTAGTCAAACTTCATCTACCTGGAACTAGTTAACTAGCTAATGTCATTTAACTGGAACATAGCTGCAACTGCTACTTAAGAAGCTCAGTCTATTACTGACAGCATCATGGTAATTCACGTGCATCATTATCAGTTTCATAAAGTAGGGTGCAAGACTCAGACCTGTCTCTAGTACAGATGTATACACCTGAAACTCTATTGGCTTCTGTTGAAGTTTGCAGGGATTTAGCAAGCTGCATCTTGCTCTACAAGGCATTTCTAAATTCTATTATTGTGATGTTTGTGTTTGTTGCTGGAAGTGATGGAGTGAAGAAGAATAGTATTTCCTTGTGATAGAAATGCATGCTGACCTAATACTTTTACTTTATGTCTTTCCAATATTTATGCAGTGTTTAACTTGACTAACAATGTGGATTTGGAGAACACTAAAAGGAAAATGGAGCTGTACCAGAAGGATAACAAAGAAGTCATTCAGAAAAACAAGATAAAACTGGTTAGTTTAACTTCTCTTCTCCCTTACAATTCTTATTCATTAGCAGAAGAATTAAAGGATTTTTGAAGTGACATACTTTCTAAAATATCTTAAAAGCAAGCCAAAACTGAAGGCACTATGCATACTTCACTTCGTATTCAAAAACTGCAATATGCTAATATTCTGTGATAATGATACTCAGTGCTGCTTGAAGAGATGAAATTGATAGTTGAAATGCAATTATCTTTCATTTTGGAAGGCATTTAAAAAGAGGGACAGGCAGTGAAGTCTGCATTTAATACATCACCATTACATTGTGCTGGCAGTCTCATTGGACAATATCCAGGAGAGACCAACTTCATTCCTAAGCTAGGACAATCGCTCCTTTCTCATCTGAATGCTAAAAGGAATCCAGATGCAGACATTATGAAGCTCCCAAGAGAGAACTGTTAAACTGAAGGAAAGCACAGGTCTGGCTTATGCAAAATTTAAAATGAAAGATGTTGAAACAAACATTTAAACTTTTGTTTGAGAGCTGATAACAGTAACATCGGGAGCACTGTATATATGATCTATATGCAGAACACACAGTTCTTTGAAGATGCATTTGCTAAAATATGGCTCAGATATCATTTTGTTCTTTAAAAATAAACTTTCAAACATTTCCTTCTGTAAGAAAAGTTCAATCTGTTAAGTACTTGTTTAGTATAAAAATACACATTTTTATTGGTTCTTGAAGGAAAATGTCTGCCCAGAGTATGACTTAACAAGGTTTTGTGTTTGTATTCCAGTCGCACTAAGGACTGGCTTTCAGATCAGTAGGGGTGAAATCCTCACTCCCCTGAAGTCTGTGGCAAAACTCCCAGTGATTTCTTTAGCACTAGGATTTCACAGGAGGAGACTGGAATCTGAAAAATGTTTGTTTGAACCTCTTCCTCCTAAAGGCAAGGAAATGTCCCTAGGGGACCATCTCTCTGATCTGTTATCCTGTGTGTGACACTGTGCGATACCCTCTGCTTCAGAGCTGGAAGAGACCTTGCAAATATTTGGCTCTTATTTTACAATGCAGGCACAACCTCTAGCGTTGCCATAAGAATGGTGTGCTTTACCTGCTGCCCATTTCCCGTTCGTGTACTTGACTTGCAGACAGCCTGTGTGCTAGCAGTGTGATCACATCAAGCAGCACAGTAATACTCTGTACACACCTCAACCCTCTGGGTCTTCTGTATCCTCTAACGAGTGGACTTGCTGTGCTAGAGGCTGTTTTGTGGAAGCTGGGCAAGTCTGCATGTCTGCAGGTCTCCTGTAAGTCTGGATTCTTTTATTTTTGAACAATTGAAACTAAATAATAGACTTCACAGAATTGCTATTACAAAAATGCACAATCTTGCCCATTAATTTACCCCTCTCCTGAAAGCTGAAATGATACTTTTTTTTTTTTTTTCCTCTAGCTCTTCATATCAGAATTTAGAATGCCTTTTCTCCTTGAATGGGAAAAGATGTTGTAACTTCAAGCCTGAACTTCTTATGGTCAGTTTTTGTCCCTTAGTTGCTGGACTGACAAATAAGTGTCCACTGTCCTGTTTTGCTTCTGAGGAAACATTGATATTTTCCATCACACTTGATACATGTTATTTTATTTACTTATTTATTTTAACCCTTATCCTGTTCCAGTTTGAATTTTTGTTTGGCAGGCAGAAAGGACCAAAGTTGAAAGCTATATTGGACCCGAGACCTCAGCAGTTTTTCTCCTCTCTACTGAAAATATGTTGACATGAGTGATCCTAAGGTTGTTTTTCTCTTGTAGCACTGTCATACAAGAAATTCAAAATCAGTAGTGATCAAGTAGCACATCATATTTTCTCTTCTTTTGTTTTGACTTTGCCCCAGGCCTTCACTGTGATCATCTTTATTTCTTCAGGTCATGGAACTGTGTCCAGACTAACTTTAAGCTTGACACAACCCTTGCTGCCTGTCGAGCTCTCTTGTTATTATTGTTTTGTTTGCTCTTCCTTTCAGAAAGAATTTTATCTGACTTGTTCTTCTGTTATTGCTGTAGCCCGATCCAGTTTAGGTTTGTGTATTAGTTTACTTATTCCTGGCTCTGATTATTCTCGGCTGGTTTTTCAGATCTGTCAGCACTTTCTTACAATTTTGCTTTTGTTTCATTACAAAGTCCAGGCAGTTTTTATGCATAAACATAGAAGAGGCTTGGAGTGTTTATAGACCCTGAGCTCTTAGTTCTGTTGACTGAACTAACTAGACGTATTACTTCTTTGAAATAAGCAATGGGAGGCTCAGTTAGCAATGGGAGGATTTTTTATTATTTATTGTTTATTTCCTTTCATTGAACGTGAAGAGAAGGCATCTTGTTGACCTTCTGTTCACCAATGTCGCTGCTACTTGTAGAATGAAGGCGTCATCCATTGACTCAGTGGCAAGCACTGAGATCTTGCCAGCTCTTGCAACAGGGAGTAACTGGGCCCATCTGGGACCCAGCAGCCTGATCTTCCTGCTAACAGGATGTTTGTGAGCATATTGTGGCCTATGTCACACCACTGTGCTTTGTGATATGACTTCGGGTTGTGTTACAGGAACAGATTTTTCTAAGCTCTTAGCTGCAGTAATGTTCTGCTTAAACCCTTTCAGTGGATTAATTGACCATTGAAACTTTATATGATTTTAGTACTCTCTGCATTTATTTTGGATCTTCCTTTGCTTCATTATTTTGTGGAAGGAAGATTTGGGAAGATGTTTTCTGTATGTAATTGCTCTATACCATCTTTCCTCCGATCGGCATTCTTTTGATTCTCTCTTCTGTATAACATTGTTCACCTTGAATCTTTTTTTTTCCCCTTTCAGTGGTTGTCACTTTTTCAGCCCTTTTCTTTTTAGTTCCACTGTGAGTTTTAAATACATTTAACTTAGCAGTTTTAAAAAGCCTTTTTCATCTTTAGAAGTTAATCCTGAAACAAAAACGCAGTCATCTTTGTCCTAGTGAGCTGTTTCTGTTCTACACCTAATAATACATGAATAATACACACAAGTATTATTCAAGTCATACCTCACTTATCTCTACACCTGTAAGATGTTCATTCATAAGTATGTTCTAGTTCATACACTTCTTCTATGCCACTGATAAACAGAATTTTGCACACAAGATGCAGCTGATCTAGAAAAGGGTGATGAGGAAAAGTTTTGTGAAATTGTATTTTCTGTCACTTTCTTACATCTCTTGAGAAGTAGAGTGTGGGGGAGCAAAGAGGGATGCCTTCATTTTACTGCTAAGATCAAAGGAAAAGCCATTGTTATTCTCTATCATTTAGAGCCAAAATCTGGATGGGTACTTTTTTCTACAGCAGCAAGGTGAAAATCTGTCATCAGGCAGCAGGAGAAGGGTAGGAATCATCATCCATAATGAGCATTAAAAGGTAAAATTTGGCTGCTTTTCCATTGCTTGGTCTGCCCTATGTCCTCTGATAGGCAGAAAAGTTGTAAGAGATCTCAGTCCATGCAAGGATGAAGATTGCTGAGAGTCAATTTCTCATGTTTCCATTTCAGACCCGGGAGCAGGAAGAGTTGGAGGAAGCTTTAGAGGTGGAACGACAGGAGAATGAACAAAGGCGACTGCTTGAACAGAAAGAGGAACAGCTACAACAGATGATGAAAAGGAAGAATAAACAAGCACTCTTGGATGAACTGGTGAGTAACGAAGCTGGAGGCTTTGAATGCTCTGTAGCAGAGCAAATACCAGATGGGTTTATATACATATCTTTCAGTTCACTGTGGAATTAACTGAGCTGCCCCTTTCTGTTTTCCTGTCTTGCATGATTTATACTACTCTTCTGTCTCCTTCCACTTACTGCAATGCTAGAAAGAACTCTGAACAGTTTTGGTAAGCCAAGGGCTAGTGGGGGAGGATGCTTCTGAGATATCACAACTAGCTCATAGACTGAATGGACACATTTGTCCAGAATTTCCAATGCTGCTCAGGAATTATAGGGCGAGCGTTCTTGGATATTTCAGTGCCAAATTGATTCTTGATAAGATCCAAACAAGCCTCCTTCAAATTTAGAAGGTTTTTATTTCAGAAATGTCCTTAGTGAATGTAGCCACTGTATCAGTTTCCTTAACAGTTGATACTGCACTGTATATGTGAAGAAAAGAGAGCATAAAAGTGTGGACTTCCGTTCAGCTTGACAATGTGAAAGCCACAAGGTGCAGGTTTTCACTTAGATAGCTGATGCAGTCACTACTCCATGTCAAAGCTGATGTACGATGAATGAGTTTTGCTATGGTGTAGCCTGTGCAGTTTCCTACTTCTGTTTCCTTCGGCTGATGATAATTGCTTCTGCTGTGGTGTATGTCTGATCAGGCAATTTGCAAAGAGGTAGAGAGGAGCTACATAAGTTGGTTCAATCATAATATGAAATCTTGTCACTGTTTGTTAAGCAGTCGTGAATATCTGTGGCTGACAGTCTGGTATGCTGAAGCAAAGCAGTAATCAGGAGCGATTTTATGAGCTCAGGTACTTCTGCAGTAGAAAAATGAAGAACAGGTAACTATTTTTGTGACTTAATTGAGCATTGGTCAACCCATTTTGAGTCAGAGCACCTAAGTAATAGGCTGGGTATGGATCACACAGGAATCTCTGTGTTGGACCAGCGTAAAGACTTTTTCATTCACTGTCTTCTGCTCAGCAGTGGACTGTGAGTGCCTAGTGAAGGGCATAAAGGCAGGGCTAGTCCTGGAGTGCTTTCCCAGGTTTCAAGGAGAGAGTTTCTCGCAGGGAAGCTTGGAAAGAAGACTGGAGGCTTAGCAGCTTCCTGAACAGCTACTAGAAGTTTTCTTGCTCTGAACCTGTCATGTTCTCTTATGGTGGGCATTCTGTGCATGAGATGCTTCTTCTGATGTGAACAAACGTTGGATTCATTTGAGGGGTGTATAGGCTTCTGAAGAGAAACTTAACTCCTTCTAGAAATGGTCTTAATCTTGTTTTTGGCTTACTTTGCCATCTTTCTGTATTTGAAATTTGGCCATAGAGAAGCTCTTTAATCAAGATTCACTTCTCAGTTTTTTTTCCTATATGTGTGTTGACACCCCTGCACAAACATTCACACCTTCTATCACTCCTGAAAACAGTCTGTGTATAACATTACAAAAGAAATAAGTATGTATGCATGTACTTACAAAGTATGCAGTTATGTCCATGTGTGGTTTAAAGCTTCTTGGCAGATTTTAATTCAGAATTTGTCTCATTTCAGTATCTTATGTGAGTATAACATTAATTCCTGCTTTGTACTCTTGATTTTTATTTAAGAGGGAAACACTTCCCTGATTTTCCAGGAAAAAGAGAATTCTTCTTTGAGCCAGGGCACGAAGAGAGAGCGTCAGTGTGCAATTCAGGGGTTGTGGGAGCTCTCCTGAAGAGCTATTGTTTTCAAAGCCAGGGGCTGTGGAAACCTTTCCCTGGTTTGTTTAAAGGAGCTGTTATTTCATTGTTTATAGTATGGAGCACAGATGAGCAGAAAGGCTCCCTGAGAATCCCTCAAGCCTGTGACTTTGCATCCAGTAGGCTCTTTTCACTTTCAAGGTATAAGTGCTTACAATTCCCATGATTGGGAACAGTTTGAGCAATGGATCAATTCATAAAAGCTGCACTGCAAACTCAAATTTATTGTCTCAGAAAAGGGATTTTGAACTGGTTTCTGACTTAGTTCAATCCTGCTCTAAAATGAAGCCTTAATTTACTAGAGACTAGTGTTGTTCTTTTACACTGCAGTTGGTTTTACTGGAAACGTACTTCACCAGATGGCTTGAGGTAAGAACGGTTATAAATAATCCTTAAAACATGACCCAAATAGGTAGTTTTAACTGTGATTGCATATGTACTGCTATTAAAATACATCTTAATATTCTAAAAATAACAGAAAGGTGATTTTAAAGGCTGACGAGGGAAACTGGGCAACTTTAAGTTGTTTAAAGTTAGGTTCTGTCTCTGTTTGTGAAGGGGGCACTGTCAACTCAAATTTGGATCAAAACTCATTTTGTAATACTAAAGGTTTATAAAACCAGCATTAAGGTGTTTGTACAATGACTTATAAAGTCTCTGGAAAACCAGCAGTTGTTAAACAAATAAACATTTCCTATGGTCTCTTAAATCCATCTAATGCTGTGCTACATATCTGAAAATGAATCTGATCATGCTTAAAATTGAAATGTGTGCTGTGCTGAGAAATGTGGCAAAAGCAGGAGCAATGTAAGGAATTAAATTAAAAGAAAAGATCTGTGCTGTTGGATGGTACTGTACCAAAACCACAAGGGTTAAGCTCTGTCTGCAGTGGTACCATGATATCAATGGCAGAAATGCTGGCTTGGCAGGGCTGTCAGTGGAGGGAGGTGGGAATTGCCAGCGTTCACCCTATGATTTCAGATGCTCTATTCTGAACGGATCACCTGGTGTTTGGGACCTGCAGCCATGTGACCTGGCTCTTGGTGATTTTTTTTTTTTCTTCCCAGTTTTTTCCCTGCCATACTGGATGTTCAGAGAACACTTAAGGCATATTTCTTGTGCAGCAGGTGCTCTCTTCCCTCTGTTTTAAGTGATGGAGAGGTTTTGGGCTTATAAGAGAAAAGCACCTGAAGTGAGCGTGCCCCATGCACTTTCAACAGGAGAATTTTGCATACAAGTATACTGTCCTGTTTTCAAAGAGCTATAATTTAGATAGGCACAGAAACGCTTGGTATTTAAAATGTTGAGCAGCAGGCTCTGAGTTCTGGGTTGCTCAGGTCTTGCAGAAAGGTCTGGCCTTGAGGCCGAGCCTTTGAGAGCTTGGTCTCTGCTGGGAGCAGAGGGAGGATGGCTGGCATGGTTTGGTGCAAGGAGGATCAGGTTTTGTGTGGCTCATGCTCTGCACGCTGCTGGAAGAACAGTCGTGTGCTTCAGCTCCCAATCCTGCTCTGTTACCTGTTGCCCATTTTGCCTCCCACTACTCAGTGAAGCAGATTTTATATAACCTTCATTACAAGTGACCTCTTTTGCCATAAAACCTCCCACTTGAAAAGCACGGCACCTCGTTGTAATTTAGGCTTGTAGCCTCAAATGTATTTTACATTTTTATTAGAAGAGATGTGTGGTTAAGTTTTTTTTTCTCCCCTCTTTTAAAGCCTCTAAACTTGGGCAATCAGGGTTTAATAAAATATTAAAGCACTTCCTTTATTTACTGTATAAATTCATCTGTATACAGAGGTTTACAGAACAGCCCTTAGATGTCTTCTGTGATGTGGGACTTACACTTAGCTCTTCAAGAGCCTGCACTCCACAGGTAGGAGCAGAATGGCACTACAGCACTTGGCAAACAGGCGTCTTCCCCCTGGGCCATGCAGTAGTTTGGAATCACACAGAGGTCAAGGTGTCTTAAAGATGTCAAGCATCCACCTTTTGCCAGAGCCTCAGGCTTCTTTAAGCATATTTCAGAAATTTTTACATGTAAGTAGCTTACATGGTTGGTTTTTTTTTTTTCCCATACAGAAAATTGCTGGTGTGAATAAGTGCTTACAGGATTGGATCTTTGATTTGTATTTCGGTGTTAATAGTTAACAGGAGGACTATGTGCATGTTAGGAAGGACAAACAATCACGAATGTGGTGGCTTGCTGGCACTGTGGTGATTTCTCACAGTTGTGTAATCTGGTTACCAACCACTGCGCTGATGTGGAGCTGTTATGAAGTTGGTATAAAAATTGGCTTCCCTTATTGTGCCAGAAATGCAGTGAATGTTTAAGGAACACGATGTGGTCAGATGAGCTAGAATACCCTGCAGTGTTAAATCTGGAGATGAGAAGAATCAACAATCCTTGTGAGAGCCAGCAGCTCCCGGTGTCTGCAGGATGGCTGTGGGTGTGTGAAATGCTTTGGAGATGTGGACTGTCAGCTGAAACTTCTGTGGTACAGATTTTCTCCCAGCTGTGCAAGAATCTCATCGTTACAACTTAGATTTTTAAACCTCTTCCACCTTGGGAACTGCTGAAATATCAGGAAGGTTCCGTGTCTGACGTTTGCCATTCTGGAGCCGATTTCCTGTGAGATTTTTCTGCTTTTAGCAGTTGCTGCCTTGTTATGAGATGAAGTGAGTGTAAGAAACGAGAAGAAAGAGGAGGGAGAGTGATGGGGGAATAATAGGTGTAAAACACAACCTTTCTTCATGAGCACTTGTAGAGGTTTCTTCAGGCTACTGTGGACAGCAAGGCATCGTGCAGCTTTAAAAAGCTTCCAACTTCTTCCTCTGAACTGTTCTAAAATAGAAATGAAAATCACCATCCAGTCTGCTGCAGCATGGTTCACGGTTCAGTGTTTGCTTGGTTTGAGTGTTGTGTGAAAAATGGTACCCTGCAGAACTCTGGGCATAATCTATTCTGAACTTCTTCGCTGCTTTCAGCTTCATTTCTGTTCTAGCTTGGGAGCCCAGGGGAACTCGGTGTGCATGTGGATAACTCACATTAGTTGATTAGAAAATTGGTCAATAATTTCTGACTCTCTCCATAATGTAGTACGTAGATGTATGTTAATAATCATTCTGTTGTAGCCTACATGAGAGCTTTAGTAGCTAATTTGCTTAACTATTTGTTTTATTACTTTTATATATTTAAAAAAAAATTGGCTGGCTTCCCTAAAAATAAGTTGGTGGAGGAGAAAATAAATATGCTGTTGGTTGCACTTACAATAGTGCCATTGTGCAAAGCAGAGCAAGGATCATTTCCAAATGGCCTCAGGTGAAATCTAATGGGAAACAATTTCAAACTGGTCTGAGTTCATTGGTAGAAAGAATGTGTCTTAGATAAACATCTGATCCAAGTTCTACTGCTTTGTATTATTCCTTCTCTGATTAAGCTTTTATTTTTACTTTTTAATTTTAATAAATACGGTCACCTTGGCTGGTTATAAGGATAAGGATAATATAAGGATAAGGTATATTGGAATAAGGAGCCTGTTACATTGTCTTTAATGTGGATTCTATAAAAATCATTATTTGCAGGTTACTCTGATTTATGGTGTTATTGCAGCTTTTTCATTCTGAAAACTCTTCTTTTGTATAGAGGATATTTAGCATTACACTGCTCTGCTAAGGATGCCCTTTCAGATACAGCTTGCAGTTTTGAAGCGGATGCGGCATTAATTAGTATTTCTCTGGTTCAGTATTCAGATGTTTATTCTTATGCTTACAGGAGAGCTCCAGTCTTCCTGCTTCGCTGCTTTTGGCCCAGCATAAAGACAGATCTACTCAGCTAGAAATGCAACTGGAAAAACCCAAACCTGTCAAACCAGTCACATTTTCCACTGGCATCAAAATGGTAAGTTTCTTCTTCTACTGTTTTTAAGCATTCTTTCAAAATGCTTGCGTTTGTTTTTTTTAAATGTCTTTCAAATGACACCATATTTCCTGATTTGAAATTTAAGGTTATTTTAACCAGAATAGCATGTTGTATTGAATAATTGAATCTCTATTTATGTAATTGGGAAAGAACAGCCTATATATTTCATTATTCAGCTTCTTGGAATATATGAAACCTTTTCATTGCATGGTTGTCTAAAAACAAGCTATACCTTTTTCTCAGCAGTGCTGTGCTGTATGTTGAATTACAATGTCTCTCATTTGTGTAACAATTTTGGAAGTTGAAATTTAAAAGACTGCACTCTCCAAGTTTGCTCTGAGCACTGAAATAATCAGTGAGAGTGGGTAGACAACACTGAAAGTGATGCTGAGTGGTTTTCATTGCTACTGGAATTCAGGAAGCAGCAAGTATTTTTTCAAGTGTTACTACTGTAGTGACAGCTAAAGATCTGTCGTCATTCCTGCATTTATGTCTCAATGTGGTACAAAGTCTGCATCTAGTGGTGCATAGAAATGTAAGATAAATAAATCTAGTTTTTGGGACAGAGGAGGGGTGTAGATGGAGTGTGAGTTCTTAATCTCTTTTGTACCTGACTGATTTCCTGCTTTTTAAAAAATTCCTGCTCTTCTCTTAGTCTGTGTTTTTTAGAATTGATAATGCTAAATGATGTCTTGAAAATAACCAACACTCCCTACCCTCCTGGCAAACCAGAAAGTAAGGAAAGCAAAAAGTAAGCCTTGCAAACTACTCTCCCATCAATTAGTTTGTCAGTTTGGATTTGTCAAGGATATCTGGGCTATGTTCGTTGTCTGTTTCCCCCAAAGAGTTTGCACTGTAATAGCATTTGCAGCTTACTTTGCTAAGAGCAGTGTCAGCTCTTGCACATTGTTCTTTTGCATTTCTGTAGTACAAAGCTCTGTCTTCTTCCTTTTTCTTCTTACAGTCTAAGACCTTGGGGGTAGACAGGTCATTTTTGTGGGATATTTTCTGTGTGTAGAAAAGCTGGTAGACAAAAGTGTTTGTAGATTCTGGTTACAAAATATTCCACTGGAATTCCTATACTTGCTGTTAGAACATATTTTCAGACTTTTTTTATGCTGTCTGTATTTCCAACTTTGCTTAGAGAGCTAAGTTAAGCTTCCATTAGCTTAACTACATGATGAGGACAATGGAAGTACTTTGCAATTTATTTGTAGATGGATTTTAAGTAGTATTAAGCAATTGCAGACGTTTCAAATCTGCAGCCCTAAGTAAACTTTGTTCAAAAATGGGAAAGGACTTGGATGAGGAGATTTCTAACATTGTGACTCTTAAATCTTGCTATTTGCAGTAAGAAGGGATACTCCTGGTAACTGATTGTTGTTCTGTCTGTATTCAGGAAGTGTGATTAGATGACTGATTTTATTTGTTCGGTTTCCGATGAATGAACAAAACCCTCCACCCTGGTTGATCTTAGATATATATTAAAAAAAGTGTAAGTACAGTTAAAGTGAAAGATAAAAATAAAAGTGAAAGGTGAGGATATTTGAAGTTAGTGCCTCGTGTTCTGTGGAAAATGGATGCCATCAAACAAAATTAGTTTCATACTGATTAAAATTACAGGCTACCTTGAGAAAGTTGCCTATCTCCATACTTTCTTTGTAGGATGCCTGATTTAATTATGTAACAACATTGCTTAGAAGTTCATAGAAATGGCATCGGACAAAAAGAAGAATATTGATACTCTGCACCGTAAATGAATTGTCTGGCTACTTGTGATGCCTGTTGTAGCTGTTGGTTACCACACAATGGGAATATTTCTGGAAGGGGTGTTCTGCAAGGACATGGTGCAGTGCTGGGAAGCAGATGCTGGATTTCTGTGGGTGACATGCAAGTTGGCAATTTCCAGGGCAGTTTTGGCAAGATGGCCTCCTCTGAATGACCTGTGTCTTAATATGGCTAAATGCAAAATTATAAATAGAAGAATAAATATTGGGCCCTGTGAAGAGGGCTTGGAAGTTTAACTAACAGTACAAATGAATCTGACCCTCAACCACAGCAGTGCACGTGAACCTTGGGTGTATAAATAGTACTGCAATAAAATATGAAGGGACTTCTCCTGGATGCAGTGTTGGGAAGACTCATACACTGAAGCATTCTGCTGACAGTTTTGAAAGCAAGAAAGTTCATTCAAAGGTGGTTAGGTTATGCTTTGTGCTGAGTTCTGCCTGTAGTTCATGAGAAGGTTATGCTGTGACTCAGTGTGCAATAAGCACCTCCTCGCTGCAGAAAAAGCCAGGTCTGAACAGCACAACAGCTAGTGTAGCAAGAGCTGGTAACCTTAGTTAAACAAATAGGAGCTTAATAGAAACTGGAGGAACAAATAGACCTCAGAGTTCATAGTGTTCCAGTGGTTAATTGGTCTCATGTTAAAATTGACTGTGGAATGTGACGAAATCTCTAGTTCTTGATGTTTTCAGATCAGGACAAGGATGCCTCTTGGAAAGCTACTGTTGTCAAATGCAAGTTTTTCGGCTCAGAATGAGTTCGTTTTGTAAAAAGCAGTAGTTGATTGTGATTTGGTGCAGCCGATGATGTAGTGACAGCACTGGATGGCATTCTACCTTGAGACTCACCTAAGATACATAATGTGTTCCAGGTTGATTTTATTTTATTTTTCTAAAATCCTACTGTACACAATCTGCCTGCTTTCAAAATTCTATTCTGGGCCCACCATTAAAGGTTCTTGCACCATGCAGATGTGCATTCATCCCTTTATTTTTCCCCACCTGACCTTTTCTAGTGGATGTTGTCTTTAATTTTGTTCAAAGGAAGGGAACCCGAGTAAAGCTGGCTGAGATGCTGGCAGATCTGGAACTTCTATTTACACAAAGGCTTTACAAACACGCCAGTTGTGGCAGTGCATTTTTCTTTTTCAGCTTTAACATGAGTGTTTTTCCTGGGATGGTCATGGTCAGTGGTGCTCATCAGCCTGACTGATAATTGGACGAGTTTCTTGCTTCGTGAATTAAGAGGCATGCCCATTCTAGTCTCTTGGGCTGAGCTCAAGGAAGTTGGCTCATTTAAGGTGTCATATAAGTTCTGTGGAGTTCCTGTGCTTACAAGAGGGAGGGAATGGCTGTCCCTGGTAAGCTGAGCAAGAGCATCCCCTATAGCACGAGAAAGACAATTAGATCAGGGGCTAGAGTTTCCATCTTCATTTTTCATTTTATTAAACTGTTGTTTTGCTCCTTTCAGGCAGGAGTTGCTTTACTTTTTTATTTGCATTCTAATGGATCTCATTAATATTTTAAATTAATTTCAGTACGTTGTATCTTCCATGCTTGAAGCTGTCAGTCAGTGTGATTTGGCCTCCCCAAGTGGGGATAGAAGCTCTTCAGAGTTTTCTGCTCATCACACTTATCATAATAAGGAACAGGATTTTAGCATATTTGAATATGTAAAATATTAGTCTCATTATATCTAATCTCATCAGTAGAAGCTGCAAGAGAAATTATGACAATTATACTTAGTGCAGTAATGCTGAAAATATTGCTTACCAATGCATGCACGACAGATTTTAGTACCAGACCAAAGAAGAGCAGTGGTTACTAGAAATGAATACTGTTTCTAGGGCTTACCAGGGTGTGCAAAACAGATGTCATGTCTGGGAACAGAACCGTTCTTCCATTTCTTGGTGTATATAGTGACCATTTCTGGTTGGGAGGATGGCTTTAACTAGTTTTTAAAGTGGGAGAGGTGCTCTTATGCATTGTATGTTAATGGCAATGTACAAATGTAAGCAGGAATCCATTATACTACAGTAATTCTGTGTTTTTTTTTTTTGTGAATCTAGTGTTTACAGGACTGTGGGAGCCTTTTGGTGCTTGTAGTTACATGCTTTACAGTACATCTGGGGTTAAAAACACATAAAAGTGTAGAGATATTCAACTTCTCTTTAATTCATCATGAACCGGGAATGTGCAAACCTCTGAGCCTGGGACCCAGCTATTTACGTGTCTGTAGTAAGTCCAAATGAATCCCTTAGAGTGGCCTGGGTGCAGACTATCTTAAGCCCATTTCAGGCTGCGTGTCTTCTTCCTTTTCTGTTGCTTTTTGTTTTACAGTGTCTTTGCTCCCTTTCCCAGGTCCCTGGGGGTGCTTAGCCTCCAGTGATAGTATTCTTGAAGTAAATTCATGTAGTTAAAAACTCAGCTTCCTCTAACTGGATTGTCCAAGTATATAGACGAGTGTGGGTGTCCTCTGGCCTGCTTACCATTGAGAAAGCTTTCCTCTGCATTTCGTATCCAAATAACTCAAAAGGAATATAACATCTCACTGATCATTCAATTTCTCTCAGGATTTCTGTTTTAATACTTAATGGCAGTGGGAGGATTTATTAATAGAAGCATTGGTGCAGCATACATGCTTCGTCATCACCGAGATGGTCATTATGAATTTGCAGTTCAAATAGAAGTGTTGGGGAGGGAGGGAAGCAGATGCCCGGAGGCGATGTGCTCGCCCAGGATTAGACAACAGAGCAGGGCGGAAGGAGGAATAGGATCCAGCCCTACTGAATTCCTGACCTAGTGTCTCTTCCGCTGAGCCGGGCTCCATCTCCTGTCAACAGCACCTCTGAATGGCAGCAAATTAAGAGTGAAATATCTGCTTCGGCTCCTTTACTGTCCAAATCACAGCGGCGACATCACATTTAACTTAGTGTCTGAATGTTATCAGGGTTTTATTCCAGTCGCCGTAGTTTCAGGCTGTTTGTAACTGGAAGCCATGAGAGCAGTGTGCAGGCTGAAGCAGTCAGAGCTCGCAGGAGGCAGCAGTCAAATCAGTATTTCAGTGAAATGAATCTTTGTCAGACACAGGATGTCTAGGACACCTCAGGAATGCACGTTACTACTAAACTGAGCATAACATGTGCTAAGGAATGGATTTCTTGTGGCGTTACACTTGCTGTATTATTCTAA